CCAAGTTCTAGCTTTGCGGACACAGGCCTTTAACGTCTGCGATCGTAAGTCGGGGGAAAAAAAATCGCTGATTATTCGTATCATCGTGCGCTAACGTCACAGGCGCTAAACGGCGATTCAAGGAGACACGGTGGCTTACGCGTGCAGTTTCGGCAAACCCCGGGCCGAGTGAGAAAACAGGCGGACGCCGTTTTTCCACAGGCGAGAACACAGAACTTCTTTCTCATCGTTTCAATGGAAAGTTTAAAATCTCGATATCTGTTTGCGAATGTCCTGTTATCTCTAATCTCCTCTTATCTCTCCGCATGATCGACCGACAACGCGTCGGATTCAATGCCGCAGTTCTCGCGCGAGTTTAACGCACGGCCGTCGCGACCGGGAAAGAAAAGTTTGGCTCTCACTCACCCCTTCATTTCCTAGGAACTGTATTTTAGGTTTCTCGCTGCTCTTATTCTGAAACAGACAAAAAAATCAAGGTTAATTATTTTCCTCATAAATATGGATTCAAATTCGAAGCCAGCGGTTAGAAAGTTAATGTATTAGCGAGCGGAAGAGTTCCGCGTGTCAGACCTTTTTCTCTCCGGCGCCCTCCCCCTCTCCTCCCCCCCCCCCTCGCGTCGTTCGCCGCGCGGCGAAATACTTTTGCGGAGTATGCGGAAAACTGTATAACTATTACAGTGTAAAAGAATAACGCGTTGGCAACGCGAATAATTCACCGGTCGATAAGATACGCGGGCGAAGGCCAAGAAGCGTCGCGTGGAATTCCGGTCGCGGAGACTTATCGCGCCGAGTATTAACAACAGAACGATACACGAGCGTAGGATCGATTGGCGCAATTACCCGGCTATCGCTACCTATCGCCCCCGTCCGACTTCGTTAGTGTGTACGAGCGACGAGCGGCCGGTAATTCGCCGAGCGTGCGCGATCGGCGCCCGCACAAAGGGGCCGGGGCGTAAAACGCGCTGTTTTGCGACCGCGTGAAATCGCGGCGCAACGATCTCGTAACCGCGCGGCGAGTTGCATTATATCGCGCGGGACGGGCGGGCGGCGATTTTGCGTGTAACTTTTACGTACGCGCCTCTCTTGTCTCCCGGCGATAGCGCGGAAAGGGAAAGTAACCACCGCCGCGGCAAGAGAGCCCGCGGCTCGCGCGTCTAAACGCGAGACGGCGCCGCGGTTCTCCTCGCGCGCTCGGACCATTGTCGCCGGCCAGAAACACGGAAAGAAATCGGCAAGAATGACAACTTTCTCGCATTCATTACGGATCGATTTTAGATAATTTCGTGTCAATCCCTCTTTCGCAAGAGTGCCGATACGTCCTAACGATCGCCTAACGACCGTCCGTTCACATTATGCCGATCGAGCGAGAGGAGGCATTTCGCCTTTTACATATCCCTCGTAACGTCCCGTCGATCCTCGATTTCTCATTAGACTCGCATTAGACTCGCGTCTATGATTTGCCAACGCTATCGTCCGCGCGGCGCGATGATGCGCTTACGATATTTATATACAGCCGTAGACAAAATTGTCGGGCAACCTCCTCCTGATCTACCACTTGGACCATTTCTACTTTTTAAAGGTCGTTTACCAGATCGGTCGTCGCTTCCGTCGCTTAAGACGGTAAAACGACCTTCGAACAGCGAAAATCTTTCTGATATTAAATTCAATTCAGTGCAGTATACGCTGCAAATCTAAATGTGTACAAAAGTAACGTATTTACCCTGGTAGAAATGTGTGCGGTTTCTCTAGACACCCTTCCAGTTACTGTCTAGTATCACTGTATTTTCATTAGTTCTAACAATACTGCATAGAAAATGCACAAGAACTTGACAGAGTTTTATTTGTCGATACTGAAGCGGTTTTCCTGCACTGAGAAAAAAGCGTTCAGTTCAGTTTCACTGAAATAAACATTTATATGCCACCAATAAATTTTCAAAGACTTTTTTCTCAGTGTGGTAAAAATATATGCAGTTTGCGTAGACAATAACTGGGCATTTGCTATTAACGGATTATTATTTATTAAAATACTTATAGTTCTGCTCTCTTGTTCAGTAATTGGGTTCAGATTTTGCGCATCTTTTATATGCAGTAGCTGTAAGAAAAACTTTACATCTTGATTGGGATTCCAAGTAGTTTACTTCTCAGTCACTAGACGAAAGTTAATACAACTATCTACACTGAGAAAAGTCTTTGAAAATTTATTTGTGGCATATGTTATTGTCAAAGACTTTCTCGCAGTGTAGTAAAAATATATGCAGTTTGCGTAGACAATGACTAGGCATTTGCTCTACACTGAGAAAAATGTGGCATATGTTTATTTCAGTGAAATGAACATTGTATGCCTCAAATAAATTTTTGAAGATTTTTTTCTCAGTAGTGACTGCTCGAAGAATGCATGACACTTCTACCAGGGTAGATTTGTAGTGTAATTAAATACGAGGGTGTCCGAGACTTTTGTCCAAGGCTGTATGCGCGAGGTTCACGCAGTTTCGACTCGTCGTCAGTTCGAGGCATGCCAGAGCGGACGGTACCTGCACGCGCGAGCGCGGCGGGCACGCGAGAAAATTAATCGCGTCGCGGAAGATCGCGTTTACTCGGGCGCGCTGGGTCGACCAGGATTGACCTCTGAGCAACGGCGCGCTATGAGAGTGCCGGGCTCGCGGGTGAAAAATGATTTCCCTCTTTCCCGCGGCGATCGCGCCGAGGAATATCGCCCTGCGATCTCACGTACTTTCCTTTCCAATCCTTCAGCGCGCGTAAAAAAAAAAGTCCACTAACGACAGCGTGCAAAACCGAACTCTTCCCCGATTTTCAATCCGCGTTTTCCCTCCGGCGAGAAATGCCGGACGCCGCACTGTTCCGCCCAACGGGAAATTTTGCGACCAATTTCGCTCAAGGTGAGCGACCGAAAGTGAAATCTTTCGCGAAACGGCGAAGGTTCGTACATTGAAATTCGTACAAAGTGCGAAAAAGATCGCGTGACTAAAATGTACTCTGCAATTGATGTACTCGATTCTTCCCCCCCCCCTCCCCCCGTCCTCTCTCTTTCTCTCACACACATTCTAGACCTATGTATCGGTCGATGCGCGGAGTGATATGCTTTCACTGATCCGGCGATAATTCCTCATCTTGGAACCGTCGATGTGTCGCGGTTACATTCTGGCGGGGAAAAAAAGCGACGGTGGGGCATTAGATGACAGCCGACAAAGTCCATTACGGTCACGCCGCGGCGTGAATTTTACGACCGACACTCTGTCACGCTTGCATGACAAACAGAGTGTCGTTGCGGATCCCCTATTTGCGCTGCGCGTGTACGTGTGAGGCAGGGGTACCCACGGCGTAATACGGCGGGGCAATTATATTTCCACGGTGTGTTACATAAACGCGACGAAATAATCAAGCGTCGCCCCGCTCGGTCGCTTTCACTCAATAAGGGGATCCATTACAGTTTTTAATTATTCTAATAACCGCGCCTGTCCGTTCTGTTATTCGAAAGTGCACATCGAATCGCCATTGTCATTCCGAGCATTTCCATTCTATGCGTCGACGCATAGAGTGGAATGGTATGGCGAATCTATTAAAAAGCAACCGGGCAGGCGGTTTTCTCCTAAACGAGTCTTGGAGCGAATACTTCTAGGCAGGGGTTAGGCGGCAGTGAACGACTCGGCGGGGAGCCCTTCAAGGACGCACTGGAATTAACAAGAGATCGCCGACGTATGTGCATTGTCGCATAATATTAATAAGACAGAGTGTTTCCCTCTGACAATTTTTCTCCCCCGCTTCGAAATGAGATTTCATCGTCACTGCCACTGCCGATGCGGGTAGTTGGCTTTATTGGTCGGAAATGCGAGCGAGCGAAGAGGCGAAAAGGCAACTGGAGGAGAGGTTTCAATAACCACGATCGAATTCACTTATAAGAAACGCAACGAATGATGAGCGCATCGAAACATTCGACATTTTTACGCGAGGGGGAAACCGCTGACCAAAATCTTGTACATCAATGCCCACTAATGCCCAGTGGGCATTACTTTATCTTATTTTATCTCATTTTAACAAATTAATAAAATTCGTATGGCTCAAATGTGATAAACACAAATTTGAAGGAATAAAGGACTAAGGGCCGTGACAAGGTGTTAGTGTCTAAATATTTGATTCTAAATTTATTGCGAAAAAATATCACCTCAGCCAGGGTTTGAACCTGGACCTTCCTCTCGCTAGGCGGGCGTCATTCAACATTAGACTGTTTATTGCAATGAATACTTCCACATGCCTCGGTGGTCGAATTGGTTGAGACGCCCACCTAGCGAGAGGGAGATCCAGGTTCAAACCCAGGCTGAGGTGATATTTTCTCGCAATAATTTTAAAATAAAATATTTAGACACTAACACCCTGTCACGGCTCTTAGTCCTTTATTCCTTCAAGTTTGTGTTTATCTTATTTTATTTTTATAATGCCCCAGCGAGGCCTAATGCCCAAAAAATGCCTAGTAATGCCGCAAATCTGTACACCACAATGCCCTCAGCGGTTTCCCCCCTCGTTTTTACGCCATCGGAAAAATAAGAAAATGCATAAAAGTGTCATATAATTTGCACCCCCGTATCATTGCAATGTATTCAAGCTATACGTATAATGAATATAAAATGAAGTCCGTCTGGCTTTTTTTTTAGTCGATCAAAGGACGTGCGGCTGATTCTTTTCAACGTTCCGCCTCGACGACAACGAGACGTCTCGCGCGCCACGCAAACGACCTCGGGAAGGTTCTTGCCAGCCATTCCTCCCGAACAAGAGAGTCTCCTCGTCGGCAGGTCAATAACTCCACGTCCTGAGTACAACCCCTGACTCCCCCTCGTCTCTCACGCATCGCGTTTTCACCCCCGACGGCGGTGGTGGTGGTGGCGGCGGTGGCGGCGGCAGCGACCCTTTATCCCGCTCTCTACCAGAATTGGATTTCTGAGCCCATCGCGTTAACAATAGCCCGCCATACATCTTAGTCCTCGGTCTGCGAGTTATCCGCGATTAATTATTTGCCTCGCGTTCATCTCTTCTCGCGCGACGATCGATTCGCTAATTGCCTGCGGCGAACGTAGCCGAATTTCGATTACCGATTAATCATAGCTAACGGCGGTTGTTTGCGAGAAACTTCCTCCTTATCATAATCGCGCAGCACGCGCGTTTCTCCCCGGCCCGCCATGCCGCCGTTATCAATCGTTTATCGCCATAACGCTACAATCGATTTCGACGGGGACGTTGATTACTCTCTAACAACAAGTTAATCGCGAGCCATCACCGACATGACGCTAACAACTTGATTATGAGAGACGGGGCGATACTCCGACACGCGCGTGGTTCGTCGAAACGGGGAAAAATAGACGCGGCTGGTCGCGGCTATGTTTAGAAACATTTTGCCCCGCACGCGATCGGGAACGGACGAAAAAAGCAAAAAGTCCGCGTTG